GTCTTTTGTCTTTTTTCCATGTCCGGCAACGGATCGCAACCCTCAGTGTCGCCCCCGTACCGGACCGGGACCGGCAACGGGATTGCAAGCCTCGGCGTTGCTCCCACGCCTCGCTCAGCCAGTGAGCGGGAGCCGGTCTGTATGTGGGATCCGAACCCTCGGACGGGAGCGCCGCCGCGCTTCCCAAGCGGCGCACTATCCAGTGCGCCACCGGGCCGGCCCATTGCCTATTACTTTTAAGATTCTCTTTGTCTTTGAGATTTTCAAATTTCATTACAATGTACCTTGCAGAGGAAGTTTTTGGATTGAAATGGTTCTGGGATCTTCGATCCTCCTCTACCTGAAAATCCATTCTCTCCCTATATCTAGGAAATTTTCTGCTTTCATTTAATTGAATATACTTTCAATGCCTTTTTCTTTTTCCTCCCCTTCTGGAACATCCATCATTTGGATGTTTGTGCGGCTTCAAGTTCTCTGCTTGTTCTCTTTGACTTTTTTTTTTTTTATTCTTTTTTACTTTCTTTCTTTTTTTTTTTTTTTGGTTTGGTCCACTGTGTTATTTTGAAAAGGCTGTATTCAAGATCATGAATTCTTTCTTCTGCTCATTGTGGCAGGCTGTTAAAGCTCTTAGTTGTGTTTCAAATTTCATTTAATGACACTTCCAGTTACATGAGTTCTGCTACATTCTTTTTTGTAGAGCAACAGTCTCTTTGTACATTTCCTCCTTCAGATTCTGGATACTTTTCTTATTTTGTTGTGCTTTCTGCGTCATCTTCTAACTCAATGAGTTTCCTTGGGATTGTTGCTTGAAATTCCTATTCAGTCATTTCAAGGACTTCCTGCTCTATATGGTCTGGTACATGAAAATTATATTCCTTTGGTAGTGTCATAAGTTTTACTTCTCATATTTCTACTATCTCTATATTGGTCTCTAATTGCCTGGTAGAGCAATTGTTTTCTCCTGATACTCCAGAGTGGGTTTTGAGGACAGGGAGTTCCTTTTGTTGATGTGTTTTATACTGACTACTGAATGGGTGATTTAGTACTGGTTTCAGGTAGATTCAGTAGTGTAGTCTCCATGTAGACACTTTCATAAAATTCAGTCTTGGAATTGTACATGGGTACAAAAAAATTATTAAAAATCTCTAGAAAAGTTTTTAAATATTTTGAAGTAAATATAAGTGAAAAGGTGACTCATCTAAATTTGTGGAATGAAGAAATAGGAATCCTTTCAAAAAATTACAGTATTGAACGCATATATTAAAAAAAAAAAGAAACAGCTAAAGTCAATAAGCTAAGTTTGTATCTTTGGAAACTAGAAAAAAAGAAAGAAAATTAAATTAAAAGGAAGCAGAAAAAAATTAGAGCAAAAATAAAATTAAGAAATTGAGAGAAAATTGTCAACAAAAGAGCTAATTCCCCAAAAAGATCAATAAAATTGATAAACCTACAACTAAGTGAACTAAAAACATAATGACACAAAACACATATTACTAATATCAGAAATGAAAAAGAGAAAATCACTACAGAGCCTATGAACATTAAAAGAAATAAATACTATGAACAACACTGACCACAAATTTGATAACCTAGATGAAATTGACCAATTCCTTGAAAGACACAATTTCCTAAAACTTACAAACACTAAAACATAGTATTAGAATAGGACTATTTCTATTATGAAAACAGAGTAAAAAAAAACCAAACAAACTTCAAAACAGAAAGCACCTGGGTCCAATGTGTTTACTGGGGAATTCACTGAAACATTTATTTGTTTTTAATTTAATTTTTATTTTTATTTCTTTTTTTTTTTTTTTCCCTTTTTTATTTGTCTTTTTTCGTGTCCGGCAACGGATCGCAACCCTCAGTGTCGCGCCCGTACCGGACCAGGACCAGCAACGGGATCGCAACCCTCGGTGTTGTGCCCGCACCTCGCTCAGCCAGTGAGAGGGAACCGGTCTGCATGTGGGATCCGAACCCTCGGCGGGAGCGCCACCGTGCTCCCAAGCGGCGCACTGTAGCAGTGCGCCACCAGGCCGGCCCTTATTTTTATTTCTTAAAGATGGCTGGTAAGGGGATCTTAATCGTTGACTTGGTGTTGTCAGCACTATGCTCTCCCAAGTGAGCTAATTGACCATCCCTTTATGGGGATCTGAAACCTTGGCCTTGGCGTTATCAGCACCACTCTCCCAAGTGAGTCACAGGCCAGCCCCATCCAAACATTTAAAAGGAAGAAATTATACCAACTCTTTGCCATCTATTTCAGAGAATAAATGATCAGATACCTCACAACATATTCTACAAGCACAACACTAAATACCAAAAACAGACAAAGATATTACAATGAAAAAGTAGAAACCATTATTGCACATGAAGATACAAATATCACCAAGAAAATATTCAAAAACCTAATCAAACAATGTTCACAAAGAATTATGCACCACAACCAAGTAGTATTTACAACGCAAGGCTTGTTCAGTACTTGAACATCAATTAATTTAATCCTTCACATCAAAACACCACAAACAAAGAAATTAGATAGTATATCAACAGATTCAGAAAAAGCCTTGGACAAAATACAGCACCCATTCATCATAAAAATTCTCAGTCAATTGGAAATAGAGGGGAACTTCACAACTTGATAAAGACTATATACAGGAAACTGTAGTTAACATTAGTATTCATGATGAAATACACAAAGCTTTCCCAGAAAATCAGGAACAAGGCAAGAATGGGCCCTCTCACCACTCACAACATTGCACTAAAAGTACTTCATACTGCAATAACAGAAGAAAATGAAATAAAAGATTACAGACAGGGAAAAATAAATCAATAAAATTGTCTTTGACTGCATCTGATAGGAGTATCTGTGTAAAAAATTCTAGTAAATAAATGAAAAATCTCCAGCAATTAATAAGCTATTGCAGCAAGATTGCAGGACACAAGGTTAGTAAACAAAATTTTATCACGTTTCAACATACCAGCAATGACCAAGTAGAATCTTGAATAAAAAACACAATACTATGTGTCAGAACCTCAAAAAGTGAAATAGTTGCAAATCATCTACATCATAAGAAATTAACATGAAGAATACATAATAAAAAGTCTTCCACAGCTATATGACAACAAAACAAATAACGTGTTTAAAAAACAAGAAAATGAAGGGGCTAGTAGCAATATGCCAGACGTATATCTACCCCTTTTAATAACTAGATTAAGTATAATTAGTATAAATATTCTACTTATGGCAAAAACTATCAGAATTGATAGGAAAGTAAGACCCAACAATATGCTATCCAGAGACATACACTTTAAATTCAAAGACACAAAGAGACTGAAAGTTAAAAAATTAAATTAAAAAATACTACACAAACACTAATTATGAAAAGCTTTAGTGGAAATATTAATACTAGATAAAAGAAGCTTCAGCACAAAATATAGTACCAGAAATAAATGGAGCACTGAAGGATATGGGACACACTATTGTCTCTGATAGCATGGAAAATGAAAAAGGTATCTCACCCTCTCAGGGGTCTGCCAAAGGAGACTTCTGTGAACAATGGGAAAAGTGCTACCTGGTCTCTTCTCTTTGTCACTAAGAAAATATGAGAAGAGAGAGAAATTAAAGAGGCTGGCTGGCCAGATTACTAAGATGGTTAGAAATGGATTTGATTACACCACAGTCAAGGGTTTGGATCCCCACATAGAGCATCCATCAATAAATAAATAAGTAACAATAAAACAAAGATGTTCAATTTTCAAACAAAATTTAAAGGGAATGTATAGGAGCAAAAACTTGCTGATTTTGAAGTAAAACTACTTTTTGATCCAAGTTTTTCCAATAAAATATTTTCAAAGACACAAACTACTTTGTAGCAAGAATCATAGTGTTTTGTAAAAAAAATATATATTTCCAGTATTTCAAGTACCATAGGGTATGATACATAGACAGTGCCTGATAAACAATAAAACTTCTTAAGAAATAGCTGCCTCAGAGACAAGGGGAGGCCAGAGAAAAAAAGGCACAGAGGTAGCATTGGTATAATGGATTACAGTACAATAGAAGCCTCTGCTTCTTAAAGAGGTATACAGGGGGCTGGCCCATGGCTCAGTTGGGAGAGCATGGTGCCAACAAAACCAAGGTTAAGGGTTAAGATCCCCTTACCAGCCATCTTAGAAAAAAAAATTTTTTAAAGATGTACACAGGGTATGGGCCGGCCCGGTGGCGCACTGCTGTAGTGCGCCGCTTGGGAAGCGTGGCGGCACTCCCTCCAAGGGTTCGGATCCCACATACAGACTGGTTCCCGCTCACTGGCTGAGCGAGGCGCGGGAGCAACACCGAGGGTTGCGATCCCGTTCCCGGTCCTAGTCCGGTACAGGGGCGACACTGAGGGTTGCGATCCATTGCCGGACACGGAAAAAGACAAAAAGGAAAAAAAAAAAAAAAAAAAAAAAAGATGTGCACAGGGTCATTATTTGTATCAAAAGGGCAAAATTAGAAAAAAAAATTTAACAGGGCCATTGGATTTTCAGGCATTTAAAAAAATGCAGTGCAGAAGCAGGAGGCATCTTTTCCAGTGACCAACACAAGGCCCAAATCAAAGAACTAAACCAGGTGCCAATGGGCACAACTAACTGCACAGACCAGGGTCTGCAGGTTGCCCCCCTTACCACCCACTCTGTCTAAAGGGAAGTACCCACATGTTTATGAAATTCTCCTCACTGTGAGCTGGCCACATGTCAAGCAGATGAAGATAACAGGCCACTGGACATGACTTAGTTGGGTTTTCAGTCAATTTTATAACGGTAGAAGATTTCTAGGGCTCGAGAGGGGCAAAGTATATTTTCCATGTGGTAGAAACTTGTGGCCAGAGAGCAAACTGTGGCCTATTAAAGATTGCTGGATATTCTTATTATTCCTCTTATTGAGAGGTGGAATCTAATAGCCTTCCTCTTGAATCAGGGCCAGTCTTAGTGATGTGCTTGACTAAGAGAACGTGGTGGGAAACATGCTTTGGTATCTGAGTGGAGATAACAAATAGCCTCTTCCTGGGCCTCTGCCTAGGCCTCTTGGACACTTGCCCTGGAGAAGGCTGACAAACCTGATTACCCTGAGACTGCCAGGCTATGAGAAAGTCCACCTGGACACAAAGAGAGAGCCAGATGTCTGCCAAATGTTCCCAGGCACTAGTGTTCTTCCACATTAGACCAGACACATCATGCAACAGCCAACGCACACTGCCCTTTTACAGGCTTAACCACAACATTCCAACATAGAGTGAGGAAGAAATTCTAATTCTAAGTAACTAAGTTTTGTGACACTTTGTTACACAGCTGATCACTGGAACACCAAAAAAGTCATTAGAGACCATAGACAGTACTCTTAATGCAACAGGAGGCATTTAGGTTCACATTGAACATTAGGTTCAAAATAAATAAAGCCAGAGTTCTAGTAACAAGATGGCGACGGGTCTGGAGCGGATGTGCCAGAGGACAGAGCGAGCCTGAGAAGTGTGCGCTGTGCTGCCAGAGTACTATTTGCATTTCCAAGAGCAACAAAAAACAAATAAATCACTGATCAACTAATGTACAATGAAAAAAAGCAACTACAGTCTCGAGGTTTTAGGGCCGATGCAAAAGAAGATTCCTGAGAGCGCCCTAACCGCACCGGGAGACCGAGCAGCCCAAGGCAACAAAGGCCAGGAAGGACAGCAGCGGCAACACAGAGACGGAGAGGAAGGTGCGGGACCGGCCCAGCTCTGGGAGCTTTGTGAGTGACCCCCAGCCCAGCCCCGCATGGGATAACAAATAGCCTCTTCCTGGGCCTCTGCCTAGGCCTCTTGGACACTTGCCCTGGAGAAGGCTGACAAACCTGATTACCCTGAGACTGCCAGGCTATGAGAAAGTCCACCTGGACACAAAGAGAGAGCCAGATGTCTGCCAAATGTTCCCAGGCACTAGTGTTCTTCCACATGAGACCAGACACATCATGCAACAGCCAACGCACACTGCCCTTTTACAGGCTTAACCACAACATTCCAACATAGAGTGAGGAAGAAATTCTAATTCTAAGTAACTAAGTTTTGTGACACTTTGTTACACAGCTGATCACTGGAACACCAAAAAAGTCATTAGAGACCATAGACAGTACTCTTAATGCAACAGGAGGCATTTAGGTTCACATTGAACATTAGGTTCAAAATAAATAAAGCCAGAGTTCTAGTAACAAGATGGCGACGGGTCTGGAGCGGATGTGCCAGAGGACAGAGCGAGCCTGAGAAGTGTGCGCTGTGCTGCCAGAGTACTATTTGCATTTCCAAGAGCAACAAAAAACAAATAAATCACTGATCAACTAATGTACAATGAAAAAAAGCAACTACAGTCTCGAGGTTTTAGGGCCGATGCAAAAGAAGATTCCTGAGAGCGCCCTAACCGCACCGGGAGACCGAGCAGCCCAAGGCAACAAAGGCCAGGAAGGACAGCAGCGGCAACACAGAGACGGAGAGGAAGGTGCGGGACCGGCCCAGCTCTGGGAGCTTTGTTAGTGACTTCCAGCCCAGCCCCGCTTGGGGGCAAAGGCTCGCCCGGCCCCCGCCTATCACACCAGGCTAGGCACTTTCATCAGCGCTGCCTCCATTTTCTCCGGGG